CAATGTCAAATGCAGAAATGTTCATTCATGCGTTCATGACCTCAAAGTTAGATTACTGTAATGATTTATTGGGTGGTTGTTCTGCACGCTTAATAAACAAACTCCAGCTCTATCTGCCTATCACTATGCGGGGTATTTAAATCACTTTGAATGCAGCTCGTGTTGGATGCAGGGTTGCCAAATCCACATTTTTTTTACATGGAATTGGGCTGATTTTAAACTGTTGCGGCGGGTTGATTTTCTCCCGTGGGTTAAAGTTTTGAAATATTGCATGACGTACATTTGACTGAAATGCTTGTATTGAAACATTTTGCATTCTACCTATGATAAAACTGTGGTAGATGTTAAGTTTTGAGAAGGATGACCACTGGTAGAAAGCCTTTTAGCTGTTTATGATCATCTGCATAACAGTGACTGTAAAATATGTATTTTAGGTATGGAAATAACATATTTTGAGTTTTGATATTTGGGATATGGGCACTGCACTACTTTGGTGGCTAAAAATCTTTATCATTATTTAATCTTTGTTATTAAAAAAAATAAGAACAAATATACACATTACAAATACACATAATATACAAATAAAACAAACAGTAGGTGTATTTAGCAGGAACATTCAAGAACAAACACTATATAGATTCAGTCATAAGCAGCGAGTGATTTTTTTGTTGTTTTATTAACATTAAATGAATAGTTCACACAAAAATAAAAATTCTGTCATAGTGTTTTATTTTTATACCATCATTTACTCACTCAAAAGTTGTTTTAAACCTGAATGAGTTTCTTTCTTCTGCTGAACATAAATGCTATTTTGAAGAACATGGAAAACCAAACAGTTGCTGGTCCCCATTGGATTTTTTCCTACTATCAAATTCAATGTGGGCCAGCAACTGTTTGGTTACCCACATTCTTCAAAATATCTTCTTCTGTGTTCAGCACAAGAAAGAAATTAATACAGGTTTGGGACAACATGTGAGTAAATAATGACAGAAATAAAATTTTAGGGTGAACTATCCCTTTAATGACAGTCGGTTGCATGTTCAGTACTGTCCCTTTAAGAGCTGCACGCATCTAATATACAGACACGCATCCGTTCTTCTCTCAACTGCTTACTTTCATTTTAGACATAACCAACTGAGTCTATATGCAAACCTTGTGTGTTTTGACGGAGATAACTTGGATAACTGAGATAAAGATAACTTAGTTCAGTAATCAGGCGCTGTTTAACAGGCTTTTTAGTGTACGCGCTCAGAAAAGGCGCACATCAGAACAGCACGCGAATGAAACGTTTAACCGGTAAGGCTTTAAAGCACATGCAAATAATGCACTTTTGTGATTGCGAATAAGTGCAGTGTCCCGTGAGAGTAACTCTACCACAGAGGAGTCACCAGAACTGTAACTGATAGACTACGATATTTCTTCAAAAGCAGATCGTGGAGACATTTTTACCGTCCACAATCAAAAATCGTCATTTCGCACTATGAAAGTCAATGACAACATTCTTCAAAATATCTTCATCTGTGTTCGACATAAGAAAGAAACTCATACAGGTTTGGAACAACATGCAGGAGACTAAATGATGACAGAATAATCAGTGAACTGTGGCTTTAAGAGTGTTTTATCACATCGCTGCGTGAATGCTGAGCTGCGGTGACTCACCCTTTGACCTCGGTCTCGTTCTCGTCATCGACCCAGGTCAGGATCTGCGTGGCGAGGATGGAGGACACATCCAGCTCCTGGATGTCGTGGGTGGAGGCGATCACTAAACAGTTGCGATTGGCCTGGAAGACAGAGAGAGGCTGTTGTTTAGGCTTCAGATCAGACACAAACACACCGCACGGTATGTCGCGTCACAGCACCTTATTGATGGCGAACGCCGTGATGATGTCCGACTCCTTGTGGATGATGCGAGCTTTTCCTCCAGGAAACCCCAGACCGGCCTCGATCTGCAGGAGGAAGGAGAGCGCAGCAACATCACTAACACTTGTCTCAGACGGGACAGTGATGTGAATGCAACGGGCTCATTTATCCTGTCTAGGGATGCAACGATGCACGATTATGGGCCAGTTTTACTAACAGCTTGCGCTAGGGCAAACCGTCTTTTGGCGTTAAAATATTACTAAAGATGCGCACTGATAAATTAGCGCTGAAAAGGCATGGACACAGTTATTTTTGCGCCTGACCTTATTAAATATGCATTTGTAGGAGTTTCCCTTTCAGACACAAAATTTATGGGAGGAGAGAATTCAAATTAATCACGCAATGAGATTTACTAACGTTTGCGCACGTCAAATTACGAGTATTTGCGCCATTATCTAACTCCCAAAAAAGCATGTCTTAAACTATTTTGTGCTTGAAATGGCTGCAATTATTGTTGCTAGGAGAGTCACCGCAGAGAACAGAGAGGATTTTTTCCACACATATTAATTTATTTGGAATGCCAGAAGAACACATTATCTGAACATATCGTTTGCCAAGACATGTTATTTTTATTTGCTTCAGGAAATAAAAGACGACTTGGAACCCTCAACCAGCTCTATCAAAACTTCTAGCAAACCTTAATTTTTCAGTTCTGTGTTCTTAACATAGTTTTTCTCAGTTTTAAACGTACTGCGGCTACTTTATTTCTTTATGTGCGACTACGCTAATTTGCACTGCGCTTGGTATATTGCGTTGGTCAATATGCAAATGAGATGTTGCGTCTGTGGTTTTTAATTTGTGCGTTGTTAGTAAATCACCCGCAGAAATTTCACCTCCCATCGGCACTGTTTTGGAATTGCGCTCTCGCGCTAATTTGCCCTGTTTAGTAAAACTGGCCCTAAATCGCCGATAAAAATATGTGACTATTCAAGTCAGTTGAGATGTTAAACAAATCGCGATACAGTTGGAGGTGGGGGTTTATATGTACATCCAGCCGGTTGTTATCGCAGAAAGAATGTTGTAGAAGACTGAAGGGCTTTATTTTGCGATAACAACCGGCTGGATGTACATTATCCTGCTTATTACATGGCTACTTAACTAAATAATTAGACACAAAAATTCGAGTTGAAATTAGGGGTGTCAAATAAAAATTTGAATTTAAAAAATTTGTAGAATTTAATAAAAATTCAACTTGCGAATGCAAAAACGCTGCATTTAAATTTTAGATGTGCGTTATCAGTGGCACACAAGATGCGATGATGATGTAAGTGTTGTTGCATTTTAATGAATGTGAATGAAACAGGCTCATTTATCCTGACTAGGGATGCAATGATGCACGATAAAATTGCCGATAAAAATATGTGATTATTCAAGTCGACTGAGATGTCCAACGAATCGCGATACAGTTCAGCGTCTCTGAGGGGAACTGACTGCCTTCAGAAAAGTTTAGATGGTATTTTCTTTTCATCTGGTCTCTGCATAAAGGCCCGTTCACACCAAGGACGATAACTATAAAGATAACGATAAAAACATAGTTATAAAAATCTCATTCTCAATATTAAAGAATAGCAAAGTCCACACCACATCTATAACGATAAAGGCACAGAGAAACGATATCGTTGGAATCACTTTCAGAACGTTTTTTTTTTTTTTCAGCTGATGAAGGATACAAACATTGACAGCCAATCAGAATCCATCCTGCTATAACGAGTTCGAGAATTTAAAGCGGCAGACGAGCGTGTGCTTAGAATAAACAGACAATATTGTTCACTGGTGTTGATGCTAATATCGTTATCTTTATAGTTATTGTTCTTGGTTTGAACGGGGCTTAATGTACATTAATGTAGCAGTGCTGCTTTTTTCACAGCGGTAACCAAGGAAACGCTGTATCACTGCTGTTCCAAAAGCGCCACCTGCTGTCAGAGAGTGAATATGCATCTCATTCAGCTCAAAGCCGTTTCTGTTTTGGTCAGATATGATTTATGTAGTATAGTTTCACAAAGCTGAAGTCAGGCCATTCTGTTTTGCTTCAAATTTGGAAATTATACAATCTAATTTAAATCAGAAACTGCTCATGCTGCATGCATCAGTTTCGGGAATCGAATCGCATTGTGAGTTGAGTGAATCGTTACATCCCTCATTGTGACAGATCACAGAGATCACATCCACATGTGCTGTTTAAAGACTCTTTTAAAGGTCTCTCAGTCATGAACTGCTGCTAGAGGAGAATAAATGTTTAAATAATGTGTGGGACAATCCGGTTTATTCACTAACGCTAAGTGTTCAAGCTTTAAATCAACATGAAATCACATGTGATGCTGAATATTGTGTTTCACTCACGGAAAACAGATCTAGGTCAGGACTTGATGTTCAGATCTCACTGTGAGTTTGCAGTGCATTGTGGGCGATCGACTTCTGAGCAGGCTTTCTGACTAGACCACTAGCTGCTTGCATGAACAACTTAGACTAGTCTTACAAGTTAGTCATCGATTTTTTTTCTCTTCAAGACTAGTCATTCTATTAAGTACTAACGCTAAGTGTTCAAGCTTTAAATCAACATGAAATCACATGTGATGCTGAATATTGTGTTTCACTCACGGAAAACAGATCTAGGTCAGGACTTGATGTTCAGATCTCACTGTGAGTTTGCAGTGCATTGTGGGCGATCGACTTCTGAGCAGGCTTTCTGACTAGACCACTAGCTGCTTGCATGAACAGCTTAGACTAGTCTTACAAGTTAGTCATCGATTTTTTTTCTCTTCAAGACTAGTCATTCCATTAAGTCTGTCTACTTTGAATCTGAAAAGTAAGACTGATTACTCCTTGGTAACTGCTAGTTGTTAAGACACAGTCTAGTTTAGAGGCTAAGTTTATGCACTACTGAGCAGATCCCAGAAAGCTGCTTCAAATACAAAACAATCACCACAGATATCTGACTAGTAGCCCATGTGAGCGAATAGAAAGTGTTTCAGAAGCGCTGATGAATCGTTCACAATCAGAGCAGGAACTGTGATTTCATGTTGATTTGCAGATAAACGTGCATCTTAAAGAGCCTCACGACTGGATGATGATGATGATGATGAAGGAGCAGAAGCTCTGTTAGATACCTGGTTGTGTGTGGACTCCAGCGGCACAGAACATTTCACACTGTCAGTCTCCTGATTCAAACATGCAGGTCAATCACACACATCACAGTCCACGATTAGACGTTAATTACAAACATCTTCAATTAGCACAAGTACAACACCAGTTAACAGTATTAATGACATTAACGAATCAACAGACTGGGGTGACTGTTAAAAACACAATCAGGAGGAGTTAAATCAAGCAGCTGATGGGGAACAGACTGTATTTTGAGGTGTATTCTGGGAAAGAGAGCGAGCAGCTGCACAAATACCTCATTCTGATCTCGTTTCTTGGTGAAGATGTTTCGTATGAACGTCTCCTGAACTTCTTCCTGTTTGACCAGATACTGCCACAGCCGTCTGACGGGCAGAGCAGAGCGCCGGCGGGACCTGAGAATCAAACACGCTCAGAACCTCATCACAAAACACTAATAATGCACCCAAATTATAATTCTGCGCCGAAACTGAAAATTCAGGAGGCACATTGCCAAAGGTGAAAATAAAGGTTATTTAATAATCAATGGATCAAATATACTTAATACTCAATGTTTAAATAAAAACGGAGTTGTACAAACCTTTAAAACTGTACATAAGGCAGTTTTCATGTCAATATTTTAACTAGATAAAAAAGTTTGTCAAGACAAACTTTAGGTTGGCTTGAGAAAGCTTAGCCTGAAAGTTTAAAGCAGTTGTAAAAGCCTGAAGTTTGAAAATTTAGATAGATTAGATAAATGTTGATAACATGTTTCTAGCATGATTAGCATGTTACTAGCATGTTGCTAGCAAGATTATCATATGATTAGCAACTTACTAGCATGTTGCTAGCATGTTTCTAGCATGATTAGCATGCTACTAACATGTTGCTAGTATGATTAGCAAGTTACTAGCATGCCGTTAGCATAATTCGCATGTTACTAGCATGTTGCTAGCATGATTAGCAAGTAGCTAGCATGCTGATAACATGATTAGCAAGTTACTAATATGTCACTAGCATGTTTCTAGCATGATTAGCATGTTACTAGCATGATTAGCATGCTACTAGATAATATTAACAGAATTTGAAGGCTGAGACTTTGTTTCATATTAAAAGTAACAAAGCACAAAGATTACTGTGATTTATTAGATGGCAGGAGCAACAAACAATGTTTAGTGAAGTTCATACATCAACAGAAAACAGCACAGCCTGAGAGACTTTTTGAGATTTGAGAATCCATATCAGTATATCAATTAAATATGAAAAATCAAAACGTCATTGGAGAAGCACTAATAAAAAATAAAAAAAACAGTTTTAAGTAGATGATTTTAGCCCTACAAAACCAAACACTAGCTGCGTTTACATGGACCCTAATAATTTACATTTAGTCATTTAGCAGATGCTTTTATCAAAAGCGACTTACAAATGAGGACGATAGAAGCAATCAGAATCAACAAGCTTAACGCAGTACACGTAGCAAGGTTTAGTTAAAATTATAAAATAAATAAAAAGAAAACCGATAGAATAGAAAAAGAATAGAGAAGCTAG